CAGCTTTTGTGAGCAAGGCATGTGTGTGTGTGTCTGTGTGTGTGTCTGTGTGTGTGTCTCTGTGTGTGTGTCTCTGTGTGTGTGTCTCTGTGTGTGTGTCTCTGTGTGTGTGTCTCTGTGTGTGTGTCTCTGTGTCTGTGTGTGTGTCTGTGTGTGTGTCTGTGTGTGTGTCTCTGTGTGTGTCTGTGTGTCTGTGTGTGTGTCACTGTGTGTCTGTGTGTGTGTCTGTGTGTGTCTGTGTGTGTGTCTCTGTGTGTGTCTGTGTGTCTGTGTGTGTGTCACTGTGTGTCTGTGTGTGTGTCTGTGTGTGTCTGTGTATCTGTGTGTGTGTCACTGTGTGTCACTGTGTGTCTGTGTGTCTGTGTGTGTGTCTGTGTGTGTGTGTGTCTGTGTGTCTGTGTGTGTGTCTGTGTGTGTGTCTGACTGTGTGTCTGACTGTGTGTCACTGTGTGTGTGTCACTGTGTGTCTGTGTGTGTGTCTGTGTGTGTCTGTGTATCTGTGTGTGTGTCACTGTGTGTCACTGTGTGTGTGTCTGTGTGTGTGTCTGTGTGTGTCTGACTGTGTGTCACTGTGTGTCACTGTGTGTGTGTCTGTGTGTGTGTCTGTGTGTGTCTGTGTGTCTGTGTGTGTGTCTGTGTGTCTGTGTGTGTCTGTGTGTCTGTGTGTGTGTCTGTGTGTGTGTCACTGTGTGTGTGTACACCTTATATCGGTGCTCGCTAACAGCTGCGCTACGAACCCGGCGACCCGAGTTCGATTCCCGCTCATGGTCAACACCAGTGACGATTATCTGAACCGGCGCTGGGCATCCCCTAGGTCGACTCAGCCTCAAATGAGTGCCTGGTGCGATGTGTAAAACATCGCCAGTGGGGAGACAAAGGCGGCCGGGCGTGGTGCTGGCCACTCACCCCCTCGTGTGCCGTGCCGGCCTTCATAGGTGTTGCTCTTGAACAGCACTTGCCCCTACAGTCTGATAAGGCTACACGGGGGATCTTTGTTTTTGATCCCATAGGTGCTCGCTAACAGCTGCGCTACGAACCCGGGCGATCGGAGTTCGACTCCCGATGACGGCTAACAACCGGTGACGATTTTCTGAATCGATCCTGGGCCTCTCCTAGGTCGACTCAGCCTCAAATTAATACCTGGTGCGGTGCGTAAACATCGCCACTAGGGAGACAAATGCGGCCGTGCGTGGTGCTGGCCACACACCCCCTCGTGTGCCGTGCCGGCCTTCGTAGGTGGTGCTCTTTGTATTCTTAGGTTTTTTCGGTAAAGTCACGTAGGTAAAGAATTAAAATTAATAAAAGTAAAATAAAATAAAAATCACGACGTTTCAGAGGCAACACAAGCTTCCGTCTTCAGGTGGAACCGTCACAGCACGATAGCTGTATCAAGTGAAAGAAATTCCAAGAACACAGTATTTGCATATATACTGGTTATCTTTGTGTACACCTAGCCTGGCACAGCCGCCGCGGTGCTGTGTGCGATGGGTTTGTGAGTATTGAGAGCGACGGGTGCAATTCGTGGTGAGTATTCTTGCGTAACGAGTGATCCGAGTTCGATCCGCGCTCACGCCCAACGCCGGTGGCGTCAATCGGAACCTGTTCTGGACATCCCCGAGGTCGACTCAGCCTCAAATGCCGACACCTGGTGCGGTGTGTAACACGGGGAGAGAGAAAGGCGGCCGGGCCGAGTGCTTACGACCCATCCTCTCCCCCACCCTCGTGTCCCGTGCCAGCCTCTGGGAGATTTGCTGGTTTTTTCCAGGATGTTTCTGTTGCGCGTCGTCGCTTTGAGATGTTCTCCGTTCATGTTTTTTTGTTTGTTGCGGTTGCACCCGACTCAAGAGCCGCATGGCTCACAGGGCTACACCTATTCTTAGGTTTTTTCGGTAAAGTCACCATTATATAAACGGAGTGGTAGCTCCTGCAATCTCTCATTTGCTTGATACAGCTGTCGTGGCTGTGACGGTCCCACCTGAGGACGGAAGCTTGTGTTGCCTCCGAAACGTCGTGATTTTTTTATTTTACTTTTTTAATGTTTTACCTACGTGACTTTACCGAAAAAAACCTAAGAATATGAATCCTTGCAGTCACGAAAGCTTCAAATCTAGGGCTATACCTAATAAATGAAACTTGAAATGAATGAAACTTGAAACCATAGGTTGCTCCTCGCCACGAACAGCACTTGCCCCAACGGCCTGCTAAGGCTGTACGGGGAGATATTGATTTGCCTTTGGTGTTACTGTGACAGCTGACGAGGCATCTCTATGGAGACACGGTGGGGTCGACCCTGACGACGCCTGCTGCTGCTGTATATGTGAAGTCTGCGTCTCTCTCCGTGGTGAGATGTTAACTACCTCTCCTGGTACACAGGAGGTTGTGGGTTCGATCCAGACCCATTGACGCCTGCTGCTGCTGCTGTATATGTGGAGTCTGCGTCTCTCTCCGTGGTGAGATGTTAACTACCTCTCCTGGTACACAGGAGGTTGTGGGTTCGATCCAGACCCATTGACGCCTGCTGCTGTATATGTGGAGTCTGCGTCTCTCTCCGTGGTGAGATGTTAACTACCTCTCCTGGTACACAGGAGGTCGTGGGTTAGATCCTGATCCATTGACGCCTGCTGCTGCTGCTGTATATTTGGAGTCTGCGTCTCTCTCCGTGGTGAGATGTTAACTACCTCTCCTGGTGCACAGGAGGTCGTGGGTTAGATCCTGACCCATTGACGCCTGCTGCTGCTGCTGTATATGTGGAGTTTGCGTGTCTCTCTCTCCCAGTGGTCGCGTGGATTTTTCTCCGGGTCCTCCGGTGTTTCCATCCCAACGTTTAGAATCAACATCGCCACTCTGCGATCAATGTCCACGTGATTATGATAAGCCGCTTCTTTGAGCCATCATTTGTGACCAGGTCGCTTCTGATCCACCACCACGTGGTGATCCACCACGTGATGATTGTCCACCACCACCACGTGATTGTCCACCACCACCAAGTCGAAACGATGTGGTGACGCTGCTACCGCTGCTGCGTTGGCAGTGGTGCCACGCACACAGTGAACTACAATCTCGCTTTTATTGGCACAATGTTTACTTTCTTCTTAGTAAATGAAGATGTACAATACTTGTATAACAGTTCAAGTTCATGTATTAGGTATAGCCCTGTGAGCCATTCGGCTCTTGAATCGGGTGCAACCGCAACAAACAAAAAACATCTTAAAGTGAATACGTGACTAAGTGCAAACAGAAAATCCAAGAAAAGACAGCAAAATATTGCAGAAAAAAAATCACATGAGCAATATACATCACGTATAACTATAAAGTTGGCTGGATCTGGTCTTCACTTTAAGATGTTTTTTGTTCATGTTTGTTGTTTGTTGCGGTTGCACCCGATTCAAGAGCCGAATGGCTCACAGGGCTGTACCTAATACATGAACTTGAACTTGAACGAGCTTGCTCCAGAATATGTGTTTTTGGGTGAGATCGCGTAAGTATATAACTGTGTGGTGAAACCCGCCACCACCCGACACAGCCAACGAGTAAGGAGCCACCATGGATTGTTGTGTGTTGGAGAGCCCGGCCACAACATTCAGTCTGAGTACGACGTCTCGCCAGTAATTTGGGATGACATTGGTCGCGAAATCCTCCTGCGTGTTAAACCGCCGAGGTCGCTTTTAGATTTAAAGCTTTTTTCGTGACTGCAGGGATTCATCTTCTTGGTTCTTTCGGTAAAGTCACGTAGAAGGGAAGTAATAAAATAATGTAAATAAAACATAATTAAATAATTCTCACGACGTTTCGGCCACAACGCAAGCAGCCGTCCTCAGGTGGAGGAGACAGCGTCTGAATGACGCTGTCTCCTCGACAGACCTGGTCTTCACCTGAGGACGGCTGCTCGCGTTGTGGCCGAAACGTCGTGAGAATTATTTTATTGTGTTTTATTTTTATTATTTTATTATTTCCCTTCTACGTGACTTTACCGAACCGAGAAGATGCCGAGGTTGCTGTTCACAACACGGAGAGCGCACGAGTCACATTTGTTGTGTATGACGTCATCTCCAGCGTGACGTGCTTTAACCATCTCGCAACGCAACCCGTCCCTCGTTTGCGCGTGACGTCAGCCGACAGTTACATGACGTCATTTTCAGATAGCAAAGTCACGTCCCCGCGTTTGTGACGTCGCTACGTGGTTACGTCATTATGTAAATCTCGACTAATCCTCACGTTCTGACGTCATTTCACAAGCCCAGTTGGCCTCACGACGCAAAACTACACCCGCCCCCGTTAATGACGTCACGCCGCAAGCACCGCCTTCTCTGATGTCATGACGCACAACTTTTTATTAATGACGTCACGACGCCCACTGTGATATGACGTTTCGACGTAAAAACCTCCATCTCCCCAAATGACACGTTTCTCAATTTTGTAAATGACGTCACAACATACGCGCTCCGCCTTGCCGTGACGTCACGACGTAACGTTTAATTCTCATCCGTGACGTCAAGACGCAAGCATCACCGTTTCCGACGTCACGACGCAAGAAATTTGTATATTAAACACGTCACGACGCACCATCGAGCACTCGCGCGTGACGTCACGACGCACAGTCGAGCGCTCGCGCGTGACGTCACGACGCACCCTCGAGCGCTCGCGCGTGACGTCACGACGCACCGTCGAGCGCTCGCGCGTGACGTCACGACGCACCGTCGAGCGCTCGCCCGTGACGTCACGACGCACCCTCGAGCGCGCGTCCATGACGTCACGACGCACCGTCGAGCGCTCGCCCGTGACGTCACGTCCGCACCGTCAAGCGCACACCCGTGACGTCACGTCCGCACCGTCAAGCGCTCGCCCGTGACGTCACGACGCATCGTCGAGCGCTCGTCCGTGACGTCACGTCCGCACCGTCGAGCGCTCGCCCGTGACTGACGTCGTGACGCACCGTTGCCCGTCATTCTCGCGCGTGACGTCACGAGCGCGCCATTCACAGCTACGCGCGTGACGTCATGTCCGCTCTCGCGTGACGTCACGACGCAAAGGCCCCGTCCACCTCCTCGCGCCTCCATTCCGGGCGCCCCACGCGGCCTCGTCGCTTCAGCTGCCCGCGAGAAACGTCGCCCGGGACGACGACGCCGCCGCCGCCGAGGAGGAGGAGACGAGGAGGAGGAGGAGGGCGAGAGGGGGGAGACGAGGAGGAAGCGAGGGGGGAGACGAGGCGGGCGAGCGGAGGGCGAGAGGGAGGGGAGGCCTCTACCGCATGGAGAAGGCGATGGAGACGCAGGACTCTGCTCCCGACTGCTGGGACCAGGACGCGGAGGCCATGAACGCCGCGGTGACGAACCTCAACGTGAACGCAGCCGTCTTCGTGCCCTCCTTCCTCATGAGCGGTGCGAGCCGGCACTCCACTCTCCTCGCCCGCGGCGTCTCCATCTCTCTCTGTCTCTCCACCACGCGGGAGCTACTGCGTCGTTCTTTTAACTCTAGCGGCCTAACTCTAGCGGCCTAACTCTGTTGGCCTAACTAGCGGCGACAACAACAACAACAACCCAGAGACGGGGCGGCAAACGCGTGGTTACACAGCTTCGAGGGCGTAGTGGTGGGGCCCCCACTTGGCACTGGAGTATTGGAACCCTCTCGGGGCATCGTCTTCACAGCAGCTGTTGTGTGTCGCGGTAGTAGTTGTTGTAGTTGTTGTTGTGGTTGTTGTAGTTGTTGTTTAAACCCCGCCACGTTGAGCGATCGGCACGCGCAGCCACCGACGCGAAGGAGCCGATGAGCGTCGCCTCGCTCCATTGCAACATTCGGGTGTCGGGATTCATCCAGCGGCGGGTTGGCCGCTGGCTGATGATCGTAGCAACCGGCGAACGAGGCGAGGAGCGGCAGCCGGGGGGAGATGGAGCGGTGGAAGTCGTCGCTGAGGGAATGAGGAGCCGGCGGCCTTCATCCAGCAGTGGATAAGGAGACGTGGTGGGGGTGGTTACAGCGCGGACCTTGTATGTAATCGGTAGTCCGCTTAGGCGCGCTCTCGCCCGTGATTGGCTTTCCGCTGTCACGTGAGCCCCCTCTGGACCAATCGAGGCTCGCGCCGCGCCGAAGCGGACTGTGGAATGCAAACGGGCGTGTCGCAAGGCCGCAGGCTTTTCCCAAGACGCGTTGGCGTCTTTAAAAAAGTTTAAAACATTTAGTTTGTGGCGTCGCCAGCGCTCGTCTCAAGGTTAAACGTCTAGTAGGGTGCGCGCGTGTGCGTGCGCGTTCACACGCTTGCACCGAAAAACGCCGCTCGCGAGAATCTGAAGCTGTCGTTTAAAACATTGAAGTCACCAGCTGGCCTGACACGCGACTCGGGTGGCTCCACGTGCAGCCAGAGCGGGGAGTCCAGGCTCTCTCCACTGCTCGTCTGGTTGACGCCTGCTGCCGTGTAGGGTCGGAGGCGCTGTTAAAGGGGAGCGCACGTCAAGGCTGCACGTCCGGGGCCGCCTTTGTCTCCCCCGAGCCGACCGGCACTCGTTTTAGGCTGAGTCGACCTAGGGCAGAGTCGCGCTGGACTGAGCCGGACAACACGTGGCGATGTCGGTGAACGTGGATATTTGTTTAACTAGGGTGGTGGTGGTGGTGGTGTGGGCGGTCGTGAACCGTGGCCTGCCGTGGTACCATCACGTGTCCCACGTGGTGACACCACGGGCACACGCGTGTGAGCCTCGGGCTAAAACGTCGGGCCTGCGTGGTGATCTAATCATTCTGTGGGACCTCAATCTTGCCTCAGACGCACACTCTGGCCTGCGTGGTGATCTAATCATTCTGTGAGACCTCAATCTTGCCTCAGGCGCACACTCTGGCCTGCGTGGTGATTAAATCATTCTGTGGGACCCCCACTAACAAGGACGCCACGGTGGCTGGGAGATGTTAACTACCTCGCCTGGTATGCAGGAGGTTCGTGGGTTCGATCCCGACCCAGACGTCTCCTGTATATCTGGAGTTTGCGTGTTCCCTCTCGCTCTCTCCCCGTAGTCGCGTGGATTTTTCTCCGGGTCCTCCGGAATTTCCCCTCCACATTTAGAATCAACATCACGCGTTTTAGAGTAATTTGGCTGCGATACATTGCCACGTCGTGATAAGCCACTTCGTGGAGCTGTGATTTGTGATGACCGGGTCACTTCTGAAAAGGGCTTCTATATAGATCAGTGGGCCTAACCCGGTAAAATAAAAATCCATTGCAATCAGAAGATGTTTTATCCTGGAAGAGTGCAATGACCGATAAAGCTCACTCACTCACCCATTTACTCACTCACCCAGTCCCTCACCCAGTCACTCACCTAGTCACTCACCTAGTCATTCACTCACCCATTCACTCACTCACCCAGTCACTCACCCAGTCACTCACCTAGTCACTCACCTATTCACTCACTCACCCATTTAATACACTCACCCAGTTACTCATCCAGTCACTCACCTAGTCATTCACCCAGTCACTCACTCGCCCAGTCACTCACCCATTTACTCACTCACCCAGTCACTCATAAAGTCACTCACTCACCCAGTCACTCACCCATTTACTCACTCAGTCACTCACCCAGTCATTCACCTATTCACTCACTCACCCATTTACTCACTCACCCAGTCACTCACCCATTTACTCACCCAGTCACTCACCCATTTACTCACTCAGTCACTCACCCAGTCATTCACCTATTCACTCACTCACCCATTTACTCACTCACCCAGTCACTTACCCATTTACTCACTCACCCAGTCACTCGCCCATTTACTCACTCACCCAGTCACTTACCCATTTACTCACTCACCCAGTCACTTACCCATTCACTCATTCACCAATTCCCGCACTTCGGATTTGCGCGAACGACTACGCACGGTGTGAAAGAAGTTGAACATACGTGCATACAATTCAGTGATTCGCTCACTCACCCACCCACTCGTTAATTAATTCACTCGCTCACTCACCCACTCACGCATGAATTAATTCAGAAATCAAGAATCAGAATATTTATTTATCCTGTAGGAATCCGGTGAGCCGTGAATCTCTTCACAGATGTCCAGGAGGGGCACGGGGTCAGACCGTTACAACAACGAACAATACAAAAACACGATAGCAGTGCAAAGTGTAGGAAATGTAAACAAATCATTTCAGTTTTATTTGTGTATTTTTTAACAATTTTTTTATCTTACCAGGTGTAGAACCCCCTTAGCTACGAACTTTTTTTTCAGCAGCGACTTTGCCACAAATGAGAGCTCAACGAAGTGGCTTTTCGTATAGCAGCCAACAAAAATGGAAGTAATCTCCACGTGCTGAAGGCATCACTGTGCCTGCTCACAAAGGTTAATGGGCTTGGGTAGGATCCGTCACGAGATGGGGCAATGTTCGGTGGTCACGAGTAATTAGCACGGTTGGCTACGCGCGGTGCGAAAAAAGTTCTACAAACTACTACACTACACAACTATACACTACTACACAACTGTACACGCTATTATACACACTACTATATGCTACACTAAACACTTTGCACAACACTTTTCACCACTACTATACACGATTATACACCACACTACTATACACTACACTATTACACAACTATACACTTCACGACTATACACCACACTACTATATGCTACATTAAACACTACACACTGCACCACTATACACTATTACACACTACTATACTACACACTACTTTACACCACACTACTATACTACACACTACTATACACCACACTTCTGTACGCTATTAGCACGTTTTGGCTACCGCTGCATCGCCGTGTATTTTGAACTTCTTCTGCACCCTACACAGCCAGCCCCGCTAAGCGGAGGGGCGAGGACAACAAGCTAAACACAGAAAGCCGCTCTAAAAGAAACGAGCTCGTCAATCTAAATCAGGAGTCCCTAATCCCCGGGCCACGGACCGCTACCGGCCCGTGGCCTGTTGGGAACCGGGCCGCACAGCTGCAGGAGGGGAGAGCGGTGAGTCCGTGCGTGTACACACTCTACACACCGCATAGTGGTGAGCGGTGAGTCCGTGTGTGTACACACTCTACACACCGCATAGTGGTGAGAGCGGTGAGTCCGTGTGTGTACACACTCTACACACCGCATAGTGGTGAGCGGTGAGTCCGTGTGTGTACACACTCTACACACCGCATAGTGGTGAGCGGTGAGTCCGTGTGTGTACACACTCTACACACCGCATAGTGGTGAGAGCGGTGAGTCCGCGCGTGTACACACTCTACACACCGCATAGTGGTGAGAGCGGTGAGTCCCTGTGTGTACACACTCTACACACCGCATAGTGGTGAGAGCGGTGAGTCCCTGTGTGTACACACTCTACACACCGCATAGTGGTGAGCGGTGAGTCCGTGTGTGTACACACTCTACACACCGCATAGTGGTGAGAGCGGTGAGTCCCTGTGTGTACACACTCTACACACCGCATAGTGGTGAGCGGTGAGTCCGTGTGTGTACACACTCTACACACCGCATAGTGGTGAGAGCGGTGAGTCCGCGCGTGTACACACTCTACACACCGCATAGTGGTGAGAGCGGTGAGTCCGCGCGTGTACACACTCTACACACCGCATAGTGGTGAGAGCGGTGAGTCCCTGTGTGTACACACTCTACACACCGCATAGTGGTGAGAGCGGTGAGTCCCTGTGTGTACACACTCTACACACCGCATAGTGGTGAGAGCGGTGAGTCCGCGCGTGTACACACTCTACACACCGCATAGTGGTGAGAGCGGTGAGTCCCTGTGTGTACACACTCTACACACCGCATAGTGGTGAGAGCGGTGAGTCCGCGCGTGTACACACTCTACACACCGCATAGTGGTGAGCGGTGAGTCCGTGTGTGTACACACTCTACACACCGCATAGTGGTGAGAGCGGTGAGTCCCTGTGTGTACACACTCTACACACCGCATAGTGGTGAGAGCGGTGAGTCCGTGCGTGGAACCCGCCCATCATTGTTTTATTATTCACCACTTCCATCCGCGCCTCTTTCCCGCACTCCACACTTGTCTCAGTCACAGTGTTGGTGAGCCCACAAGCTCTAACCCCTAGTAGCCACAATGAGTAAAAAACAAACGTCGCTGGAGAGCTTCCAATGATGACCCCCCCCCCCCCGATCCGTGAAAAAATTGTCTTCCACCAAACCGTTCCCTGGTGCCAAAAAGGTTGGCGACTGCTGATATTCTAGATGATGACGATTTAAAAGTGCACAGCTCCCAGCGGCGTCCTCATATCGGAAGGGAAGAATGTTCCGTGGCTTGGCGGGGGGGGGAGGCCACACTTCATCTAGCAGTGGATAAATCATGGTTGACGAGGCCAAAGCGTGCCGAGCAGTCTGCCCAGCGGGACGCAAGGCGGCCTGGACGGGCAGCACAGAGTAAGGGCGGCGCCGGCGGCGGCGGCGTGTTTGTGCACAGCCTCCCGTGAGCGTGTTGTGGTTGTTCCCACAATGACCCACCACTCGCTGTCCCCCCCCGCCTCAATACACTGCGGCGGTTATTTGTGGCGCTCGACTCGGCAAAGTGTGTGGGGTCAAGGTTGCCTCGGGGGGAGCCAAACGGACGCGAGTTGCGGGGGGGGGCGAGGGGAGGCTGGGCGGGCCGAGTGTCTGTCCGCTGCTGGATGAGGGCCTGTCCGCGCCGTGCGGGGGCCGCGTGGTCCGTACTTGCGCGGGCTGCACAGCGCAGGGGGGGTCGTTGTCGGCTCGAGGGCGTAGCGGCAACGCGGTGCCGGCCCTCCGGCCCTCGCTGCTGCCCAACACGTAGCCCCCCCCCCCCCCCCCCCCGTGGTCATCGCCCTTCCGGGGGCGGCGCAGGCCTGCTTAGCTTCTGAGATGTGGGCGCGTTCAGGCACGTTGGGGTGATTTGGTGGGAGGCGATGCGTCAGAGAGTGGCGTTACATTTGATCAACCTCGGAGGGTTGATTATGATGTTATTGTATTCATGATGATAATGATTATGAAGGTATTGTAATTATGATGATAATGGTTATGCGATGATGATGATGGTGGTAATGGATAACATAATTACTTTCAGAAGAGAGAGAGGTAGTCATAGCTTGGGATTGAACCTATGGAGTTGGTAGCTCGGAGAGAACCACTGCCGCCGTGACGACTTGTCCGCACCCAACAAAAACCACAGCGGCCAACAGCAACCTGCTCGCTGTCCTGTGAACAGCGGTAACTTTCACGTTGCCACATTTAAACGTTCTGAGTCGCCCTCTGTCTCCCTGGCAGGGCACAAGGCGGTTGCTGTTGCAATAGAATTCCCTCGCGACGCTTCCAAGTTTGTTTGGTGTTGCCGGCGCGCGAGTCGCTTGCGCAGAGCGCACGTCGGAGTGGCGCTGGCGGCCTGCGTGGAACGTGCCCGTGATCGCCCTGCGCCGAGTTTCGCAACCGGCGGCAAAACATTTCGGCATCGAGCAGTTGGCCAACGTGTTTTTACTCGGCAAGCGAGATCCCGGATCGCACGTCGTTATCACTCGGTCTTCTAGCTCCTCCGGGGACTCACCCCCTGCCTGCCTCTCTCATCTCACTCCACTCCCCTCCACGCATTCTCCTGCCTCTCCCCTCTCATCTCACTCTACTCCCCTCCACGCACTCTCCTGCCTCTCCCCTCTCTCATCTCACTCCACTTCCCTCCACGCACTCTCCTACCTCTCCCCTCTCATCTCACTCTACTCCCCTCCACGCACTCTCCTACCTCTCCCCTCTCATCTCACTCCACTCCCCTCCACGCACTCTCCTACCTCTCCCCTCTCATCTCACTACTCCCCTCCACACACTCTCCTGCCTCTCCCCTCTCTCATCTCACTCCACTCCCCTCCACGCACTCTCCTACCTCTCCCCTCTCATCTCACTCTACTCCCCTCCACGCACTCTCCTACCTCTCCCCTCTCATCTCACTCCACTCCCCTCCACGCACTCTCCTACCTCTCCCCTCTCATCTCACTACTCCCCTCCACACACTCTCCTACCTCTTCCCTCTCATCTCACTCCACTCCACGCACTCTCCTACCTCTCCCCTCTCATCTCACTCCACTCCCGTCCACGCACTCTCCTGCCTCTCCCCTCTCATCTCACTCTACTCCCCTCACTCTCTCTCTGCTCCCATCAAAGCAAGGATTTCCATCGAATCTCTCGGTCAACTTTTGCCCACCAAGAGGTCGCTTTTTCTCCTCTGCTGCCCCTCAAAGTCTCGAAATCCCCCCCCCAGCCACCCATGCTGTCGACTCCGTGCCCCCTGTTCAAGTCCGAGACTCAAGCCCTTCCCTTGCCCTCTGCCCGTGGCCGAGACTCCGCCTCTCATGGCCACACCGCGTGTGCGGCCGGCTGGCCGGGCCGCTTGGTGTGTCTCGCGCGTGTACGTCTGTACGTGGGGTTTGTTTCGCGCCGTGCGTAGCCAGCTGTAGCTCAATGGGAGGTGTGACGTGATGACCGCGTGTGTCCTGCAGAGCCCTCGTCCACGCCGCTCGTGGACAGCAAACCCAGAGCGCCCGAGTTGGACTCCAGCACAAAGACAGGAGGTGTCCCGCACGCTCTCTCCACTGTCACCACGCACGCACGATGATGATGATGATGATGTTTATAATGCTGCTGCTGATACAGCTGCTTCTACTGCTGCTGCTTACTGATACTGCTGTTTCTAATGCTGCTGCAGATGCACTCCCATTGTCACCACGCACGCTGATGATGATGCTGTTTATAATGCTGCTGCTGATACAGCTGCTTCTACTACTACTGCTGCTTACTGATACTGCTGTTTCTAATGCTGCTGCAGATGCACTCACATTGTCACCATGCACACACGCTGATGATGATGCTGTTTATAATGCTGCTGCTAATACACCTGCTTCTACTACTACTGCTGCTGCTTACTGATACTGCTGTTTCTAATGCTACTGCAGATGCACTCCCACTGTCACCACGCACGCTGATGATGCTGTTTATAATACTGCTGCTGATACAGCTGCTTCTACTACTACTGCTGCTTACTGATACTGCTGTTTATAATGCTGCTGATACAGCTGCTTCTACTACTACTACTGCTACTTACCGATACTGCTGTTTTTAATGCTGCTGCAGATGCACTCCCACTGTCACCACGCACGCTGATGATGATGCTCTTTATAATGCTGCTGCTGATACAGCTGCTTCTACTACTACTGCTGCTGCTTACTGATAATGCTGTTTCTAATGCTACTGCAGATGCACTCCAATTGTCACTCCATACACATTCTGCTGATGATGCAGTTTCTACTGCTGCTGATACTGCCGTTTGCAATGCTGCTGCTGATGCAGATTCTACAGCACTCCCATTGTCGCTGCACGCTGATGATGATGATTCAACTGCTGATGCAGATGCCACTACTACGACTGTTGCTACTCTTGCAGCTGATGTTACTCTTTTTGCTGATGCTACTGCTGTTCTCTGCTGATGCTACTGTTTCCACTTTTCCTGATAATGCTGATGCTGCTCCTGCTGTTCTTACTGCTGCTGCCGATGATGATAGTCATAATGTTGATGCCTCTGATGCACAAGATGCCTCTGCTGCTGATGATGGCTTGGATGCTGCTGCTGATGCCCTTGCTAATGCTGCTGATTTTGATGCTGTTGATTATAATGCTGCTGCTTCTTCTGCTGATAACGATGATACTCCCGATGCTTCTGCCTTTGCCACCACTGTTGATGCTGTTGCTGACGATCGCTTTTACTTAAGTAATGTTTAGATGATTAGGAAACCAAGAAAAGAGTTAGACTCACCGGGGGAAGGACAACAAACTAAACGCAACAACAATCAGTTCTAGAGAAGCGAGTTTGTTAGTCTCGATGATGATGATGTAAAAGTGCGCAGCTCCGGTGGCTCCCCCACTTCGGAAGTAAAGAGCGTTCCAGATACGGTGACACTGAAACTTCTTTCGCACCGGCCTACGTACGGTGGGAAAAAATCTCAGCGTCACGACGATGATTTAAAAGTGCACGGCTGCAGCAGTCGAGTTTCCTCCTATCGGAAGGGAGAGCGTTCCAGACGGCCTGCAGAAGCGCATCGGGAAAGCGCCGTGCGACGCGGCGACCGCTTCTGTTCGACGGCCGCGAGGATGACCGCAGTTGGCACGACGGTGTTTACGCTCCTTGCCGAGATTATCGTCGCCACGCTTCGTGCTTGACCCCCCCCCCCCCCCCCCCCGGGCCCGGCGCTGCTTGACCCCCCCCCCCCCCCCCCCCCGCGTCTGTGTGCCTACGGTGCCGTTCGGCGTTCCCAGCGCCGCTGGAGAACGGAGAGCCCGAGTCTGCCGAGAGTTGGGAGGAGCGCGGCGAGCCGGAACAACCGGACGGGGGCGGCGGAGGCGGAGGGGGGGGCGGCCCCCCCTCGGACGAGCCCCCCCCTCCTCCTCCCCCCCAGGACGTGGGGGGGGGCGGCGGCGAGGACGCGGGGGGGGCGGCCCCCCCTCCGGGCGAGAGCGGGGGCCCGGGCGGGGCGGAGGAGGCCCCCGAGGAGGAGGAGGGGGACGGGGAGGGGGTCCCCGTCCCGGCGCCGGTGCCCAAGCCCTCGGAGGGGCCGCGCAAAGACCACGTCAACGTGGTGTTCATCGGCCACGTGGGTGAGAGGCGCGCACGGCCCCACCTACCCCCCCCCCTCACACGAAGAACGGCCCAGAGCCCCCTAGCGTGTTGATGGTATCGTGCTACGCTACTGATCTCCACCCGGCCAAACGCAGATGCACAGAGACACAAACACACACGCATGCATACATACAAAGACAAAGATCCCCCATATTGCCTTAACAGACTGTTGGGGCGAGTGCCGTTAGCGAGCACCTGTGAAGGCCGGAGAACGATACACGAGGGGGTGGGTGGTCAACACCACGTATACACACATACACACACATACAGACACATACACACACGCATACAGACACACACACACATACACACACATACAGACGCATACACACGCATACACACAGACATACAGACACGCGCGTATCAGTAATGAGGGGAAGCACGCCGCCGGGTCGCATGGGATGCGCTGTCACAGCTGCAGCGGCACCGCGCGTAGCGCCTCACCGTGTCGTGTCGCCCCCCTCCCTTCCGCAGATGCTGGCAAGTCAACAATCGGAGGGCAGATCATGTGAGTGACATTTTTTTACTTTGGTTTTTGTTTGTTGGTGTTCAAGCAGGTTAGAGGCCTCTGAGCTGTGCAGCTCCTTTTCAGAAGCAACCGGCGATCACACGTGGCTAGGGTCGTTCTGAACATGGAGGGGAAAACCCGGAGAAAAATCCACACAACCACAGGGAAAGAGAGAGACACGCAAACTCCAGATATACAGAAGCAGGCGTCGGGGTCGGGATGGAACCCACGACCTCCTGCAGACCAGGCGAGGTAGTTAACATCTCCTCGCCACCACGGCTTGTCCACTCGCTCGTTAACAGCAGCGATATCGTGACACTGAGGGATGGCCGTTGGCGTCCAGCAGTGGATAGACCACGCTTCACGTGGCTCGTGTTGTAGGCTCCGTACGTAGCCAGCCGCACTCATCGGAGGTGGTGGGGGAAGGACAACAAACTAAACACATGAAGCAGTTCTCGACAAACGAGTTTATCAATTTAGACCAGGGGTGGGGAACGTCCGGTATGAGGCTCGCGAAATCATTTGAGTCTGGCCCTGCCAAGGCAACCGCAGGCGGGACTCGAAATTCAATAAATCTCGGAGCAAACCTGGAAAAGCAGTCGCGAGTAGCAGCAACATCATCAATAGCAGCTAACATCACACGCCTCGCCAAAGAGAAGCAGTTCCAGCCATCGCATTAGGGGCGAGTTTATTAAATGTTTGACCAAATATAACAGGCAAATTTATAAGTTGATAATTTTGTATGGCCCGCGAATGATGTTATAAATATCCAAATGGCCCTTGGCAGAAAAAAGGTTCCCCGCACCTGATTTAGACGAGGATGACGACGATTTAAAAGCGCACAGCGCCAGTGGCTTACTAATATCGGAAGGGAAGAGCGTTCCAGACGGCCACAAAAGCGCTTCTGAGAGCGCCGCGCGACGATGATGCGGTGACCGCCGTCTTTGCTCGACGGTTAGTTAAATGCCGCTGCTGCTGCGAGGATGATCGGAGTTCGCGTGGCGACGGTTTATGCTCCTTAACAAGATCAGCAGCAAGGCATTGTGGTTCATTTGCCTCAAGCACTTTGTGTGTAATGAGTGCGACCTCGTAATGTATTCGTTGGGTAACTGGAGAAGCCAATGCAGGTTTCCCGCTTGCCAGAGGGCAGGACGTGGATGGCGGTGTTGACGGTGGCCCGTGCCGCCCGCTCCGTGCAGGTACCTGACGGGCATGGTGGACAAGAGGACGCTGGAGAAGTACGAGCGAGAAGCGAAAGAGAAGAGCAGAGAGAGCTGGTGAGCTCTCACTCCGCTGCACAGCAACAGCAGCAGCATCGAACACGCGCACACAAAGATACGCACGCCCACAGACACGCACGCAACACACACAGACGCAGCAGACAGATAGACACAACAGACACGCACACAGACACGCACACAGACACGCACACAGACACGCACACAGACACGCACACAGACACGCACACAGACACGCACACAGACACGCACACAGACACAGCAGACACAGACGCACACAGACACGCACACAGACACGCACGCAACACACACAGACACAGCAGACACAGATAGACACAACAGACACAGACACGCACACAGACACGCACACAGACACGCACACAACACACAGACACAGATAGACAACAGACACGCGCTTAGGCTGACGGATTTGTAGTGCAGCGTGCTAACCTCTACGCCACTGAGTAGCACGGTTGGTTACGTATGATGCGAAAGAGGTTCAACATACATCAACGTTGACTTAAAGCTTTCGTGACTGCAGGAATTCATCATCTTTGGGTCTATCGGTAAAGACCCTTAGATTGATTCGCGTGTAAATTAGTAGCTGGTGCCGTACGCAAACAAAGGCGGCCGGGCGCGGTTTCTGGCCACACCGCTCCCTCGTGCGTCACGGGGGGGAGTCAGTCGACAGCGCTGTCTCGGCTACACTGGGAAGGAATCTATTCACTTGTTTTCCACTGCACAACCGAGCCGTGCCGAGCCCAGGAGGCACCGGGGCTGGTTGTTTTTGTCCACCGCAGTAGCCTAGCCGTGCCCGCGGCCGTCGCGCGAGTCGTTATCCGGGCGGCCACCGCATCGCGGTTTTGCTCCAGCCTCGACTCTCCAAACCAGCAGTGGGGAGAAAAAAATCTCCACGAGTACCGCGAGGTGGCCTCGGCGCCGTTGTGAAATAAAAAGTGTACCGCCGACGCGCGTGCCAGGTACCTGTCGTGGGCCCTGGACACGAACGTGGAGGAGCGCGAGAAGGGCAAGACGGTGGAGGTGGGGCGCGCCTACTTCGAGACGTCAAACAAACATTTCACCATCCTGGACGCGCCCGGCCACAAGAGCTTCGTGCCCAACATGATCGGCGGAGCGTCGCAGGCCGACCTCGCCGTGCTGGTACGTGAGTGAGAGAGAGGGCGGCGGCGGCGGCGGCGGCGGCGGCCCTCGGGATTCCGGTTGACGTCCCTCGCTGGCTGTGTCCGCGGTTGGCCAGCGCGGGGCACCGGACGTGGATAAGAGAACTTAGGCGGGTTGAGGGATATCACCGGACCTGAACCAGGCCCGACCCGGGAATTCGGCGCAATCGATTCGCGAAAAATTTCCACGGAAAATCGCCGATGGTCTGTGGTGACGAGCTCCCAACTCCCCCCACTCCCCCGACTCCCCCGCCCGCCTGTTGCCACTGTGCGCGTGACCCCTCACCCACCCCCAGGTGATCTCGGCGCGGAAGGGCGAGTTTGAGACGGGCTTCGAGCGGGGCGGGCAGACGCGCGAGCACGCCATGCTCGCCAAGACGGCGGGCGTCAAGCACCTCGTGGTGCTCATCAACAAGATGGACGACCCCACGGTGCACTGGAGCCAGGAGAGGTGAGGCCCTCCTTGGGATGGGAGTGGCGGGGCCTTGAGGAGACTGTCTCGGGAGTATTGAGACTCGACAGGGGTGTATGTGTGATGTGTGTGTATGATGTGTGTGTATGATGTACCGTGTGTATGATGTGTGTGTGTGATGTATGTGTATGATGTACCGTGTGTATGATGTGTGTGTGTGATGTGGTGTGTGTATGAGGTGTGTGTGTGTATGATGTGTGTGGTGTGTGTGTGTATGATGTGTGTGGTGTGTGTGTGTATGATGTGTGATGTGGTGTGTATGATGTGTGATGTGGTGTATGTGTGTGTAATGTAATGTGTGTGTAATGTATTGTGTGTGTATGATGTAATGTGTGTATATAATGTAATGTGTGTATGATGTGTGTGTGTATGTAATGTGTGTGTGTGTATGATGTGTGTATATAATGTAATGTGTGTATATAATGTAATGTGTGTATGATGTGTGTGTGTGTGTGTGTCGAGTGTCCAGGTATGAGGAGTGCAAGGAGAAGCTGGTTCCCTTCCTGCGCAAGGTCGGCTTCAACCCCAAGAAGGACATCCACTTCATGCCGTGCTCGGGCCTCACGGGGGCCAACCTTCGCGAGGCCTGCACCTCCGTGTGCCCCTGGTACAGGTGAGGTCCTCACCACTCACCCAGTCACTCACCCAGTCACTCACCCAGTCACTCACCCACTCACTCACCCAGTCACTCACCCACTCACTCACCCAGTTACTCACCCAGTCACTCACCCAGTCACTCACCCAGTTACTCACCCAGTCACTCACCCATTCACTCACCCAGTCACTCACCCAGTCACTCACGCAGTCACTCACCCAGTCACTCACGCAGTCACTCACGCAGTCACTCACCCAGTCACTCACCCAGTCACTCACCCAGTCACTCACGCAGTCACTCATGCAGTCACTCACCCAGTCGCTCACCCAGTCACTCACCCAGTCACTCACTCACCCACTCACCCAGTCACTCACCCATTCACTCACGCAGTCACTCACGCAGTCACTCACGCAGTGATTGGCTCATACATTCACCTGTTCACTCGCGCAGTGATTGGCTCATACACTCACCCAGTCACTCACCCACTCACTCACCCAGTCACTCACCCAGTCACTCACTCACTCATTCAGTGATTGGCTCATACATTCACCTGTTCACTCACGCACGCACTTGGTGAGATCCTCGGCACTCACTCGCTCATTCAACGATTTGCTTACTCGGTTCACTCATCAATTCATTATTCGCTCGCTTTGCACATTCACTCGTGCATCCATTCACTAACTCACATGAGGGGGCAGTCAAACCACCTCCATTCACTTCATTCATTTGCCTCCTCGTCAATTCATTTACTCATTCACTTCATCAGGGACACACTCCAACCTCCACATCATTCATTCATTCACGCATGCACTCGTTAGCATGTGTCTGTGGTTATGGGGGAGCGGTGGCACAGCGGTTAGCGCGCTGCGCTACGAACCCGGCGACCCGAGTTCGATTCCCGCTCGTGGCCACCACCGGTGACGATCGTCTGAACCGGTCCTGGGTATCTATGGATGTTGAACTTCTTTCGCACCGTACGTAGCCAACCGTGCTTATCGGAGGTGCGGGGGGGGGGGGTGAGGGTGAGTGAGTGGGCGGTCGTGGGCCTCCCCGAGGTCGACTCGGCCTCAAATGAGTAGCCTCGTGCGGTGTGCAGTAGTAAACATCGCCACTGGGGAGACAGAGACGGCCGGGCGTGGTGCTGGCCACCCACCCCCCTCGTGTGCCACAGCGCCGGCCTTCGTATGTGCTACTCGCTTAACAGCCCTTGCCCCATCAGTCTGTTAAGGCTACATGGGGGGTTTTTGTATGTATGTGAGTTTGTGTGTGTGACTAAGTGTGTGAGCGTGTTCCACACTGCAGCGGGCTGCCCTTCATCCCCTACCTGGAGAGCCTCCCTTGCATGTACCGCTCGTCAGACGGACTCATCCGCATCCCCATCGTCGACAAGTACAAGGTAGGTGCCAGCTCACCGCCACCAACACCACCACCGCCGCCACCACCACCAACACCACCACCGCTGCCGTCACGACCGCCACCACCACCGCAGCCGCCACCAGAACCACTGCCGCCACCACCACGACCACTACCACCAAGACCACCACCGCCGCCACCACCGCCGCCACCCACCGCCGCCACCACTGCGCGACCACCACCCGCTCTCACTTGGCTCTTCTGCCACGGAAGTCCAGACACCTCATGACGTCTCTCCCCGCCCCACAGGACATGGGCACAGTGGTGCTGGGGAAAGCTGGAGTCGGGCAGCATCGTCAAGGGGCAGCATCTCGTCATGATGCCCAATAAGGTGAGGCTCCAAAGACGAACAAAGACAAAGATCCCCTGCGTAGCCTGTAACAGACTGTTGGGGCAAGTGCTGTTAGCGAGTAGCGCCTATGAAGGCCGGCACGGCACACAAGAGGGTGGAGTGGCCTGGACCATGCCCGCGCACGCACAAGGGACGCCACTGTGGCGAGGAGATGTTGACTACCTCGCCTGGTATACAGGAGATCGTGGGTTTGATCACGACCCTCATGCCTGCTGCTGCTGTTTATTTGGAGTTTGCGTCTCTCTCTCTCATCATCATCACGGTGGCTAGGAGATGTTGACTACCCTCGCCTGGTATACCGGAGATCGTGGGTTTGATCACGATCCATCACGCAACTGCTGTATATTTGGGAGTTCTCACTGTGGGTGGCGTGGATTTTTCCTCCAGGCCCTTTCCCGGTTTCTCTCCGCCACATTGAGAGTCGACGTCACGCGTTTAGAGTGGTTTGACAAGCGACGCATGCCCACACCGAGGAGGCAGCCCACGTCCTTGAGCTATCGCTGTGTGGGCCACGTCGCCACTGAAAACGAGCGACGCAAACCCAGCGGGCCTTGTGGGGTGAAATAAAAAAAAAGAGTTTTAAAGTTTAGGTTGTGAAGAGGTACACACACACACATCTGTAAGGATATACACACATGTACACCTTTAAACACACACTCTACAAACGCAAACACTGTGCAGTGTGTATACACACACACACTTGAAACAAAGATCCACGGTGTAGCCTTAACAGACCGTTGGGGCAAGTGCTGTTAGCAAA